GCTGGCCCCCGGACCCCCCTTCGAGCTCTTCATCCAGGCGCGGCGGGACCAGCCCCTCGGGGCGCCCGGCACCCTGCGCGTCCGCACCCGTACGTGCCGCTCGCGCAGCGCGGGGACTGTGTTGCATGGGGATGGCAGCGGGCGTGGGGACAGGGGTGGGGATGGCACGTGGGTGGGGTAGAGGATGGTGGTGGCGTAGTCATGGGTGTGGGGACGGGGTGGCACAGGCGTGGGGACGGGTGACGCAAGGATGGGGACAGTGATGGCATGGGGACAGGGTATGAGGACAATGATGGAGGTGGCGTGGTGACAGCACGGACAGTGTGGGGACTGGGGTGGAGATGGCACGGGGATGGGGTTGGGGACGGTGATGGCATGGTCATGGGTGTGGGAACAGCCATGGGGATGGCATGGAGACAGCATGGACACTGTGAGGACGGGGATGGCATGGGGACAGGGACGGCATGGGGACAGGAATGGGAACAGCACAGGTGTGTGGACAGGGACAGCACGGGGATGGGGACAGTGATGGCATGGGGACAGGGGTGGCATAAGCAGAGGGATGGGGACAGGGATGAGGGTGCCATGGGTATGTCAACAGTGATGGCACAGGGATGGGGACAGGGACAGTGGCAGCGTGGGCATGGGCATGGGCATGGGATGGGCACAGAGACGGGGACAGGGATGGGGGTGGCACAGACGTGTGGACAGGGATGGGGACAGTGATGTCATGATGTCATGGGTGTGGGGACAGCGATGGGCACAGCTTGGGCATGGGGACAGGGTGAGGACAGGGATGGGGACAGCGTAGGCATAGGCATGGGCATGGCATGGGGATGGGGACGCATGGGCACAGGCGTGGTGACAGGGACAACATGGGGATGGTGACACGGACAACACATGGATGGGGACAGCGAAGGGATGGGAATGGCACAGGGAGAGAGACAGGGTGGGAATGAGGCCATGGGGACATGGGGACAGGGATGGGTGGGGACGAGCATGGGGATGGGGACAGGGATGGTGCCTGCAGCCTCCATCCATCCCCACGTGTCCATGTGTCCTTACGGCTCTGCGGATCCGCATGCGTCTGTCTGTCCTGGTGGGTCTGTGTCACCGGTTTGTCCCTGTGGATCCGTGTGTCCCCTTGGGCCCATCTATCTGCAGCTGTCCCCATGTGTCCCTTTGGGTCCGTGTGTCCCCGTGGACTTCTCTGTCCCCATGGGCCTGTGTGTACTCATAAGCTTCTCTGTCCCCATGGGTCCATGTGTCCCCATGGGCTTGTCTGTCCCCATGGGTCCACTGTCCCCATGTGTCCCTTTGGGTCCATGTGTCCCCGTGGACTTCTCTGTCCCCATGGGTCCATGTGTCCCATGGGTCCCCATGGGCTTGTCTGTCCCCATGCGTCCATGTGTCCCCATGGACCCATCTGTCCCCAGGGGTCCACATGACCCCATGGCTCCACGTGTCCCCACATCTCCTGGTGCTTCCCCGTGCGTCCCTCTGTTGCCCAGGTCCAGATGTCCCCAGTCTGTCCCCGTCAGTCCATCTGTCCCAGTCTGTTCCCATGAGCCTGGGTGTCCCCAGTCCATCCTCATGGGTGTCCCTGGTCTGACCCTATGCGTCTGTCTGTCCCTGTCCCTTCCAGTATCTATCCGTTCCCCTCGTGCTCTGGCAGATGGGGACTTTTGGGGATGGGTTGATGACCCTGGTCCCCTTTGCTCTCGCAGTGCTTGCCCAGACTCTGCCCACCCACAGGAGGTCCCCAGGGTCCCCTCAGGGTTCCCTGGGGTCCCCAGCGTCACCTGTGGTCCCAGCGTCACCATCAGCCCGAGGGTCTTCGGCATCCCCAAGGTCCCCAGTATCACCAGCATCCCCTGGGTCACCAGAGTCCCTGGGATCACCGGCATCACCAGTGTCACCAGATGCATCCTTGGGGTCACCAGGGTCTTTGGGGTCATCAGCATCTCCAAGGTTTCCAGCCTCCCCAGTATCTCGAGAGTCCCCGAGGTCCTCAGCACCTCTGAGGTCCTCAGTGTCACCAGAGTCCCCAGCATCACCAGCGTCCCCAGAATCCGCAGGGTCACCAGTGTCCCCAAGGTCCCCAGAGGCACCATCATCCCCAGTGTCTCCAAGGCCACCTGCATCTCCACGGTCCCCAGCATCACCACAGTCCCCTGTGTCACCTCTGTCTCCATGGTCGCCAGTGTCCCCAGCATCCCCACTGTCCCCAGTGCTCCCAGGTGGCCCATCCCTGCATGACCTGGGGGCCAAGCTCTCCTCCTACAATGGCTCCTTGCTGCAGCGCCTGGAGAGCCACCTCCGGGCTACGAACTTCCCCCTCCGGGGCAACCCAACAGTGCCAAGCGGTGGCCCGTGCCATCCTCTCGTACCTTCTGCGCCGCAGCCCAGCCCCATTGCGTCACCAGCTTCTCCGCCAGATCCCCCACCCCAAGCCCCAGTTGATGCCGGGCGCCGCCGGCGAGGCTCTGGTGGACCTGGATGGACTGCGGGGCCACGCAGAGACTGTAGTGATCCGTTACCGGCTCCTGCAAGAGCCGGAGGGGGCCGAGGGGGAGCTACAGGTGCCAGGGGACACGGCGGTGGCCCGGGTGCCAGGGCTGGTGCCGGGCGCCATGTACCGGGTGGAGGTGCACGGCGTGGTGCGGGGGCACGTCTCCAAGTCCTACACATTCCTGGTGACAGCAGGTGGGTGATGGGGATGGAGATGGGGACAACATTGCATGGGAACATCCCATAACCGTCCACTCCTGTTTTGGGTGCAGGAGTCGGTGGCACTGATGAGCCCTCACTGGACTGGGAGCACATGTATGAGATGGAGTTGACTGAGCCCCAAGGTGCCGTAGCCAAAGCAGGTACCATCAGGTGGTCCATGGCAGCAGTGGCAGGGACCTAGGTGTTCAGGCTCAACTGCTCTTGGGAGTGAAATTGGGGATGGTTGGATGGGTGGGATGGGTGAGTGGATGGATGATGGTTGGATGGAAAGATGGAAGTTTAGGTAGATAGGTGGGTGGATGGATGGGTAGGTGGTAGTTGGCTGGCTGGCTGGATGAGTGGATCATGGATAGAAAGGTGGGTAGATGGTTGGATGGATGGTTGAATGGATTTGTGGATGGATGGACAATGATTTAGTGTATAGAAGGTTGGATAGATAGGTGGGTGGATGGGTGAGTGGAAGGTTGGATGGGTGGATGGAAGGATGGATGGTTGATTGGATGGTGGCTGGATGGACATATGGAATGTTGGATAGATAGGTGGGTCGATGGGTGGATGGATGGACGATGGTTTGATGGATCGAAGGTTGGATAGATGGATGAGTGGGCAGATTCAAGGACTGATGTAAGGACAAGTGGAAAATGGATCCTTTGATATGAATGGATGGAAGCCTGGATCCTTGAATGAACAAATGAGGGGACAGACAGAGAAATGGACTGGTGGATGCAAATGGACAAAGAACAGAATGAATGGATGATTGGATGGATGAGTGGACACCCAGTTGGATCAATGGGAGGATGGGTGGATGACTGAGTGCTTGGATTGAAGGGTGG